GTTTGAGAGCAGCCCTGCCGAGAAAGACTTGGGGGTACTGATGGATGAAAAACTGGACATGAGTCAGCAATGTGCACTTGCAGCCAAGAAAGCCAACCATATCCTGGGCTGCATCAAAAGAAGCATGGCCAGCAGGTCAAGGGAGGTGATTCTGCCCCTCTACTCTGCTCTGGTGAGCCCCCACCTGGAGTACTGCGTCCAGCTCTGGGGTCCTCAGCACAGGAAAGATATGGACCTATCGGAGCAGGCCCAGAGGAGGGCCACAAAAATGATCAGAGGGATGGAACACCTCTGCTATGAGGAAAGGCTGAGAGAGCTGGGGTTGTTCAGCCTGGAGAAGAGAAAGCTCCGGGGAGACCTTATTGCAGCCTTTCAGTACTTAAAGGGGGCTTGTAAGAAAGATGGGGACAGACTTTTTATCAGGGCCTGTTGCGATAGGACAAGGGGTAATGGTTTTAAAGTGAAAGAGGGTAGATTCAGACTAGATATAAGGAAGAAATTTTTTTACGGTGAGGGTGGTGAGACACTGGAACAGGTTGCCCAGAGAGGTGATAGATGCCCCATCCTTGGAAACATTGAAGGTCAGGTTGGACAGGGCTCTGAGCAACCTGATCTAGTTAAAGATGTCCCTGCTCATTGCAGCAAGGGTTGGACTAGATGACCTTTAAAGGTCCCTTCCAACCCAAACCATTCTATGATTCTACGATTCTATGACAACAGTGCAAGATCTTGTTGTGTAGCTTTACATCTCTGTACTAGTCTGTTCCACAAGGTAACTGTAAATACACCTATATTTTCACAATATATGTGTATTTTGCATTTGGTTCCTTTTCTTTTTTTGGCATTATATTGATGAGTAATGGAACAGAAAACATCCATTACTCCTAAAAAATGTTCATTTTTAAATTTGCTCATCATATAAGTGACAGCTTGTGCTGAGCACAATATAAAATGTAGCTATAACACAAAAGACTCATTTCCCATTTTTGGGTGATTTTTATCTGCTTTTATTTCTTATTGAGCACTAATATATTATTCTGTCTAGTCTTTGAACAAGTCTGCCTATCTTAATAACGTACCTTTGTGCTTGAGTTAGACTGGTAAACAGAAAAGCTAAACAAACATCTATCAAAAGTTTTTATACATACACTGTGCCTCCAACAACCATTCTGAGTGGAGATCACATGCTCTGCATCATTGTGTTAACTTGCATGTAGTTACTTTGGAAACCATCATTGACAGTGTCTGATCACAGCACTAGAATTAACTGAAAACTTCATATGGGTCAGATGCCAATGAGGCTTTTGAGAAATCTCCTGCCTGAGAATGCTGCCACAGCAAGCTGGCATAAACACTCCTAAATAATAATCAGAATACAACAGAAGCCCCTTTTTTACAGTCTCTAAATAACTACTTCTCGTCAGTCTCTAAATAACGACCAAGGCAAACTACCAATAACTGAACAAAGCAATTCACAAATGTGAAAAGAAAAACTCAGTTAAGATTTAAATTCAATATTCAAGTTTTAAAACTTGTATGACTTCAGTTTACTGCATAAACTAGCAATCTTGTCCACATTTACATAAAACTAACATCTTGGGTTTGCTACATATGTGATTTAAAGATGAAAACTTTCCATTTGGAAACCAATATGCTCAATTTCTAAGGTGCATAGAGCAGGAGTGCAAAATATGCACTTGTCATGGTTTA